ATATATATATATATATATATTAACTTAACCTCATATAAACGGATAAAATTGTTCAAACTTTGATTGATATGTTGATAGTAGTATTAATATTAGTCTCCAACACGTGTGTTACTTTGGCCTATTATGAGCAATGCAATCCATTTAATTTCATAATATTCTAGAAAAATATAATATAATATGTCATATATATGGGTTTTTATGTTTGATATATTTGAAAGGATGGAAACTATAGCCATATTAAAACCGGTTCAGCCTAACTAGTTAATTTCTCCTAAAAATAAATATTAATCCATTTTTAAATATTTAATAATTTTAAAAATTAATATTAGATAATATTTAATAATTTGAAAAATTAATATAAGATAATATTTAATAATTTTAAAAATATTTTTGAATATCCAATAATTAAAAGAATGAAGAGATAAGATAAAATATATAAGTGAAATAAGAAAAACAAATATGAGGAATTTCAAATTCTCCCATTTTTGAGAGAATTTGAAATTCTACTATTTTAAGGAATTTCATAAATGTTTGGATTTTAAATTCTTTGTAAATTCCTCGTCTAAACAAAGTATTTCACCTCAAGAAATTTAAAATTCTTCAAATAAATGAATTACCCTATATAAATTCCTCATCCAAAGGAATTACCTTATATAAATTCTTTAAATAAAGGAATTTAATAAGTGTTATGGTGTGTTTGGATGAAGAATTTTACAAATTCAAGGAATTTTAAATTCTTGGTATTTGAACTACTTTGATTTCAATTTCTATCATTCTTAAAATATTTTGTTTGGATAAGTCAATTCAAATTTCTCAAATTTTAAATTGTTAGGTTGGATATGATAATTTGATTCTATCATATGATAAAATTGATCTTAAAAATATATTTATATGTTGAGATTTTTAAATTAAATTTTTTAAAAATAAATATTAGCTAATTTTTAAATATTTAATAATTATAAAAATTAATATTAGATAATATTTAATAATTTTAAATATAATTTTGAATATTCAATAATTAAAAACATGAAGAGATAAGAGATAAGATAAAATATATAATTGAAATAAGAAAAAAAAAATATGAAAAATTTCAAATTCTTACTCTTCTGGGAGAATTTAAAATTCTACTATTTCAAGAAATTTCACAAATGCTTGAATTTCAAATTCCTTATAAATTCTTCATCCAAACAAGTTATTTCACTTCAAAGAATTTAAAATCCTTTAAATAAATGAATTACTTTATTTAAATTCTCTATCCAAACACACTATTACTTAATGTATATATAAGACATGGAAGAGAAATGGAAACCTGATTTTAACCAGGTGTAATTTCCATTAAGGTGCAGCTCCAATGAAACAAGTTATTTTTTTAATACTAATATTATAAGAATCATAATAATGGTCTATAATTGACTAAAATTTTATTTTTATAATTTTATATAGAAAACAAAACATTAGAGATAGAAAGTATGTGTTTGCTTCTTTGTGGACGTCGAACCATGTTTATTTATATATTCACGTAAGAATTCTCAATTTAACGTGGAAGAAAGTAAACAACTTTATATTGATGCATGTTATATTTTCTTCAAATATTACCCTCTTTCTTAGGTAGTTATTAAAATATAAAAACTATTTAAGTAGTCTTAAAAGTATTAAATGTCATGGTAAATAATCTTTCGAATATCAAAAAATATTTTAAATTTGTTTTCAAATTTACTAAAAGAGAAAAAAATAACTTACTCCAAATGTAAATCTTAACTTATTTCTAAAGTTTACATTAAATTACAACAATCTAATGATTTATATATTGATCAAGTCCACAATTTTAAAAAAAAAATACATAATATGTAAATTAAAGTAAGAATATTTTATATATATAAACTTAAGAATTATATTAACAAATTTTAAATGTTTTATAAATTACTTAAATCAAATATTAATTTGTTCTACGCGCTTTATAAATAAAGTTATATGATATAATTTGGAGAAAAAAGAAATATTTTTTTAAAAAAGTAAATATGAAGTTAAATCTTAAAATATGTGTTGAATTGGAAAAGGCATGAGGTTTATACGTAAAAATTATATATCTTAAAAAGGATAGAAAAATGTTTATCATATATTAATAACCATATATTTCCAAAAAAAAATAATAGTCATGTGTATAATAATATTTGTATACCTTCAATAACAAACATTTTAATTAAACTAGAGTAACAGCTTGTGTCGTGCATGAATATTAAGTTTATAGTCTTTATTTTTATATTATTGTGATTTTTATGTATTTTTATAATTATTTTTTTATTTTAGAATAAATTTATTTTAGTGTGTGTGTGTATATATATAAAATTGAATATTGATAAATTTAATTTATATAAACATGCATCCCAAAATTTATATATATATATATATATATATATATATATATATATAATTGGTTATGTAAGTACAAAAAAAAATGTGTTCATGTATATTGAAATTAATATAACATTAAATTAAAAAAATAAACAGATAAAGAAAATAACAATCTAAACTATTCATGTAGCATTGCTACGCCTTGGATGTTAGCAAGATACAAAATGATCGGTGTCTTCAAACACTATAAAGACTTCGTTATAAGGAGCACCCTGTTTAGTTAGGTAGGCGCAAACATTCTCCTCTCCGAAGGGGAAGTTAGAAAAATGATAAAATAATATAATAGACTAAATTATATTTTTATTCTTTATCTTATTTTTTTATATTCATTTTAATTATATTTAAATTAATTTATTTTTTAAAATAATAATTATTTTAAATTTAGTGACATAATTTTAAATCAATTTTCAACTGATTCAAAATATGAAACTTGTAATATTAGATTTAATAATATAAGTTAATTATTAATCAATAGATATTAATATGAAAAGACTAGAAATTATCATACATGAAAACAAAAAAATAACAATTATAGGCCTCCAACCCCAAGTGTTACTGTTTTTCTATTTGTAATCTCCTTGTTAATCTTTTTATATGTAAATATCAATGTTTATGCCCCCTCTTACCCCAAACGCACTTTCTTTTGTTTTACTCGATGAACAAAAAATATTTGGTGGCCCAGACGTGAAGTAACACGTGAAGCTCCATGCATTTTTTGTGTACCTCTCCCCTCCCCTATCTGAAAAATAACAAGTAACACGTGAAGCTCCATACATTTTTTGTTTTATATTGCTCTACCACAGAGCCTGGATTCAGGAGTATTTTGTTAGTTACACTGCCAACATGACGAACTATTTATTTGTATAAATAGTTTTTAAAATTATTTATTTTTGATATTTTGAATTTTTTTATTTATATAGGCCAAAAAGCCTATTATCTATACAACATCTACTTTTCTTCTTTCTTATCTTCCTTCTATTTCTGTCTTCGTTAGTTTTTCTTCCTATATTTATCTCACGACATTCAATTCGTCTATCACTGTCTTTTACTCTCTATCTTCATTCCATCCATACACCTCAACAAACCGTGTGTATTTAACATTTTCAGGGTCAAAATGAACATTTCTACAGATGACCCTTTAAGCTAATATTTAAGACCTTGTAATTAATGCAAAAGTTGAAACGAAAAATCGTTACAAATCCTAGATCAGGTCACAAACTTCATAGGCATTGTCATTTTAGCCCATATGCTAATAAATTGGGCTACAAACACGGATCATTAATGTAATTAAACACAACAACTTAGTCACCACAGCAACCTCACCTTCCCCTGCCTTCCCTAAAGCCATGCAAAGCAACTGGCATTTCCAACTCCCCAGATTACAAAACTTTTGAGCACGTTCCAGTGACCTTTTACAAGTTATTATCAAGACATTTCAAAAGGCATAAACTTGGGTCATTTTACGTGAGTAGTTACCTTAGCCAGCATCTAGAAAACTGCATAAACTAGCAGGATTTTTCACAATTTTGAAAACAGCCTTAGGCACTGTCAGAATCATTTCCTGAATCAATATTCATGGGTTGGGGATTCTTGTACCCACTAATCTCATCTTTGTAACGTTTTTTATCTGCCCGTGCTTTTTCCTCGTATGGTTCCTTCTCTTCCACTGTGCATTCAATAAGTAAAACAATATACAGTTTAGTCCCCAAAAAGTATAAGCTCGGATATAAATGATACTCAATGGAACAGCATGAAATCAAACAATCGGCAACCATACCTGACATCTTTTTCCATTTCTCTCCAAGTACTCTTCCCACATCCGTAAATGAAATTCCAGGATTAGTTTTCTTCAGATTCTGTCAAACAAAATTCAGGAATATTATGTAGAGAGAACTATTTCGGGTAGACTTTGTTAAAGGTCATTTGGCTACTGAGTCCGGTCTTAAAAGCATGCCTCTTTTACTTGCATTAATTAGAGAGTTTGTTGGATGATCTCATTATTATCTATTTTACCCGGCATTGTAAAGATTTTTTTTTTTCCTTTCCCAGCCTGAGACTTCTATGTTCTACACCAAAATATCCAGTAGAGCAAACAAAATGAAGTACACAATTCTACATAAACTACCACTGTAACCCAGAGCTATGCAGAAGTGATGTGATAAATATTCCCATCCAAAAACATACAGCACATCTATATGATATACAATAGAACACACCTCTCTTTCCAATTTAGAAAAGAACATGAAACCAGACATTGCCCTCTTCGGTGCATTTGGGTCCTTTTTCTTCTTCTGTTTTTTCTTCTTTCCATCTTCATCATCTTTTGGTTTCTTTTTAGAAGTAGATGCCTTAGAAGGCAGGTCCTTCTTTGATTCCTTTTTGGCAGGCTTCTGAAAATTGGTCATATTAAGCTTGTCAGACACCATATATTTAAAGAATATAGAAGAATCACAAAGATAACAAACAAACGCAAACAAAAATCACTTGCCTCTTTCTCATCACCACTATCACTGCCATCAGAATCGTCTGCCCCAGAATCATCAGTGGGAGAACCTTCATCATCCTTGTCAGCAACAAAATCAGAATCCTGTAGACATTTACCACCATTTAATGTATACAGAAACAAACACTAGTGAAATCCGGCCACATTTAACCCCCCCAACCAATGACCAAAATGGTGCCAAGATGCATAGAGTCCATACTGAAAACGTGTACAGAAGCAAATGCCAAATGCACACAAACACAATAGAAAGCAAAACAGACAAAATGAATAAACACTTAAAATAGAAGAAAGATCAACTGCATGAATTCAATAATTGCATAAACTGAAACCTAAGCTTTAGGTTCACTCAAGTTTTTTCACAGCCAACTATTTTCAGATGTTGGTCAACATATATAAATTTGTCTCCTTGATTTATAAAACTAGAAAACTTATTAACTAAATGCTACTCAAACTGAAAGATAAGGATGAAAAATATATAAAAAAATATCTGTTTGATCACCTCCTCATCACTTTCATCTCCACCAGCTTCATTTTTTATGCGCTCAAGATGTGGATCAACAGCATCATCATCATCATTCTCGAGAACCTTCTTTATACCAACAGTGGGTTGGGCATCTCCCAAGTTCAAAATTTTCAAGCCCTTCGAACTGCATGTGCAAGAAAAAAAAAAAGCAAATTATTTATATAACAATTAGTTGTGTGTAAAATTTGGCATTAAGCTAACAGTTACCTGATAAATTCATACAAATTGTGGTACTCGTTTCTCTGAATATTACGGAAGAGATGCTCTTGTTCAGATTTTAATCTGATAAGAAGGTCAAAATAATGCATATTGGAACCACCAGCAGCATGCCGCTCAAATTCCACATAGTCAATCTAATAGGAAAGGAAAAAACAATGAAAACCTCCATTGTGTAAATATCATAAGCGAAATCTATCAACCAGTAATTGACATCTGGTCCTCTGTAAGCACAATCAGATTTTACCTCTTCATGAAGAATAAGAGTTGGAGGTTTAGGTAGAAAGAAGAAGCTCTTCTCAAGGGGATACAGAATTCCATCTTCAGCTTTTAAAGATGATTTCACTGCATAACCATCTTGACAACTCCTAAATTTTCCAGGCTTAGTCACTTTAGCACTGGACAAGCCACGTAATATTGTGGTGAACACTTCATGAATAAGCCCCTGATTATTATTTAATTGAAAATTAAATGCATCAGCAACTGCATCATGTGACATGTATGACCAACAGTTACCAAATTCATCTCATCTAAAATATGCAAGCTACTATTTTCCATTTTCTCAGGCAATCCTATTAGAATAGTATCTCAGGTTTACTGACATGCGACTCAATCAATACTTTAAGCAATACCTTATAAGACAGCTCCAACTTGTCTTTGTACTTTGAGTTATAAAGATCTTCATTTATTGCCAGTTCACTTTGAACAACATAATCAGTTTCAAACTATACAAAAATGAGCAAAACAATGTCAGATTCAGAAGCAAGTAAATAAACATCACATAAATTGGCAAACAATGAACCAGTTAGCAATTACCTGCATCACAATATGAGGGTACAAAGTTTGTCCCTTCCGAATAGGGGGATCAAGACTAATAATGACAAAGGTATGTGGTTGATTAGACTACAGATACATGGGAGAAATTGTCAGTACACTTAACAAGTCCAAAGAAAAGCATCATCAATTTAACGACAAAACTGGCTAATGGCATCGAAATTTTACTCTTCACAATCATTTAATATGAAAACAAATATTAGTGAAATGAAAGTACAGGACCAGGAAATGAACCTTTGGTAGTAAAAATAGGCGAACCACACTGCTATACTGGATTTTGAAATCATTAGCCTGTCCCTGAAGCCGCAAGAATGACATGTGTAACTCCACACTGTATCGTCCCCTGCATAAAAGTACAATTTTTTTATTAATAATACTCAATATATTTATTGAAAGGAGACATACAATCAATACAAAAGACAACAATATGAAGCCAAAAATACTTGTATGATATGTCAATGCATTTAAAGACAATACCTTGGTGTAAGGATTGCAATACCCTCAAATGTAACAACAGCATCTTCACCTCCTGCGCCAACATCAGCCATAGACATTATTTTGTCACGGAAAACCTGAAGCACAAAAAATTTAAATGTCACTTAACCAATAAATTATTATAATACAGGATCTTTCGTAGTCAGGAACAAACTCACCTGAGCAGGAGGACGATTTTCATCACCAACAAACTGGGTGTTGGAATTTGGTATGTGGAAACTTATCTCCATCAGTGAATCTTTCTGAGATCATAACATATACAAAATTAGACCATAAAAAAACTCAATTGAATTGAACCTAATAACTAGAGTCTTCAATATTGTGCAAGTCCAAACTTGAATGAGAACAATTTTCTTGCAAAAAATAACCGCCAGGTTGGCTAAACTCTATGAATTTGTTACAACATATAAGACAACATAAGTGCATGAAAATATAGATATACCTCATTAGCTCCAGTTGTGTCATCCACATGAAACTCCAAGATCACATCATTCTTCCCTTGAAGCTGCGTTTGAGAGACATCTGCTAAAGACACCTCAAAAGCTTGCTTTGAACCAACCATAAAAGCCAGCATATTTCCTGAAATGGAAATAGAAACATAAGGACATCCACTACTCTACTAGCAGTATTGCTGTAAAAGAAGTCGAGTCAAATTTTATTAAACAACCTCCACCATAAAGAGAAATGCTTTGATTGCAAAAGAAGAAAACAAAAGAGATAAAGTTGATCTTTAAAAATTCAACCACCTCCACCACCCAAACAAATACACAAACATTTTTTTATACTTAAAATTGCACTTAATGTGATTACTGAAGTGGAGGTAGTGGTGCCTAAATGCATTTGACACTAGGTAGTAGCACCACATAAGTTCTCAGCCTTTCTTCAAAAGTTCATATATGGAAATCATCCAAGAAAAAACAATGCCCTACAGGAACAAACTGGATCATATCAACAGAATTTCTTTCAAAATAGGAAAGTTCTACCCTTTACTAAAAATACAACATACAATTTCCTCCAAGAGCTGCAATATCAATCAGAACATAGTGCAAAACTAACTTCTTCCAGAGACACTAAATTTACAAAACTTATAGCAAATAAGGATGACAAAGAGAGATGCTTGAGATATATGTGTGATGCGTCATTCAGATAATATTAATTACAACTCATAAGTCGGTTCATATATCACCAACCATTTAGATCAACTTCTCCCCAATTACGCCCACTAACAGAAAGCTGCTTCTCCTCTACCGTTATTCCACAGGTGTTTTGGAAAAAATTGGTCAAACTTGCAACATCCTACAAAATAAATATAAAAAGAAATGTGAGAAATTAAGACCCAGCATTCGATAGCAATCCAAGTCCTCTATATATAGATTTGTGTTAATAAAAGGAACAAAACATAAGAAACCAAACCAACAGTTTGAATTCTTATTTCCACATCAAATGTAGGAAAATATTCAGGAGGGGAAAAGTCAGTAACCTGGTCACGAAATCCAGTGAACTTGTAGTACAACCCATCTTTGATTTGAACACCAAGTTGGTTAGTCCTTGGAACCTTCATCCATGTGACCCCCATTATGTCGGATTTATCAACTTCAATTAATTTGCCACCACCCTGTCTCTTCCATATAATTCCTCCAGAATATATTTTTATCTGCCCTGGATTCTGCAATCCCAATTACATGAAAAGAGAGGTGTCACACATCTCAAGTGCTAATTTTGGTCTCATATTCACAAATTCAGCAGAAGTTTTCAATTCGTTGACTCTAATTATTATTAATTTTAGTTAAAAGTAATAAAACTGGTAAAAACTTGAAATGGAACAAGCAACGCAACTATGAGTAGGGACTATGTATATTGGGTCTGTTCCTACAGAATATTAAATAAATGGCTCATAACACCAAATGAAATCACCTACTTGGAGAAGGTAGAATAGTTGGAGCCAAAAATAACTTTGCATTAACAAGGGTAGTTAGCGCAAGTGGTTCAATAATCAATGATCAAGTTCAATCCTTGACTTCGACATAGAGTCACAACTTGAAGTACGACTGTATCTTGTAAAAAGGAGTTATACCTCCTTATTAAACCCCAAAAAAAAATACAAACCTTTGCACTCACTTGCTTGGTAGTTGGTATAACTAAAAAAAATTATCCGAATGAAAAAATTTTAGATTATCTATTTTCTACACAGGTTTTAAAAAAACCTGTCCAAGGCAGCGATTTTGCCACCAATGTCAAGGCTTTTGGAGTCTCCACGACCCCAATTCCATCCGATTCGACTTCATTCGACCGCAATTTAAAACATTGTTTTCTCCCGCCCCCAATTTTCATCTCCTGGATAAAGCACTCCCTTAGGGTTTTGAGAGCGAAACGAAACAGAACCCGCTAGTGCACAAATTTCCCGCAGTAGACACCAAAAAATAAAAAAGAAACAGAATTTCTAACTTGCTTACAAAACAAACAAAAAAATCTAACCTACTTAGAAAACAAACAAGAAATGTTGTACAATAAAATAATAGTAACAGCAAATAGGGATAAAGCAAAGGTGTGAGCGATAGATGTAAAAAGAAATGGAGCAGAAACAAAAAATTAGGGTTTAGAAAAGAGAGAGAGAGAGAGATTACGGTGCCTCCGCGGCCTCCGAGGGTGATGTTGTTGAAGAGATGACCGTCCGTCATGGCTGAAAGTGAGAATGAAGAATTCGCATACACACTTTTGAAGGCTTCTCAGTTATTATGAGATTCAGATAAATGGCTGTTATACAAGTCGAACGCGCCAAGCCTTCTAGTTCTAGGTTTCTCTTACCCACGCTTAACTCTCCAAAAACAAAAGAATGAATAAGTATTTCGTTTCTACATTGTATTAAAACAAGGGAGTTGTTACGGTACTCTCAAAGATCGAGAAGTTTTAATATATTTTTTTATGTAAATTCATAAAAGATTTAAAAAATAATAATTTAATTATAAAATAAATAATCTAAATTATATTTATAAAATAAAAAGTAAGATAAAATTATAAAGATTAAAATTATAAGATTTCAATAATATTATAAAATATTAAAAAATAAAAAAATTAATAAATAGTAGAAATAAAAAATTATTAAAATTATAATATAGAAATTAAAAAATTCAAAAATTTTAAGTGAAAAGATAAAAATATACTTAAAAAATTATTAAAATTAAACTATTTAAATATATAATAATATTATTACAAATAAATTAGAATATATAAAATAAAAATAAAATGACTAAATAATTTAAAAATTAAAAGAATAAAATATTATAAATATTATTTAAATAAATTATTAAAAATATAAAATATAAAAAATTATACCGGTACCCTCTCAAATAAGATGGGTACCATAAAATTTCTCTTAAAAGAAAAATATGTTTTTTTATAGAATAATTTTAAATATAAAAAAAAAATGCAATAACTTATGAGAATTGAGAATATTCATGATATAATAAATAAAGAAAAAATATATATTGTATATTGATGCAAGAAAAAGTAGTTTCCGAAGGTTATAGAAAATGAACAAATATTAAAATAATTCATATAAAAATAAAAATCAAAAGAAATTATTGAAAGAGTATCATCTTTATATAATGATTTAAATATTTTCAAAATTATGTTGTAATCTTACAATGATATTTTATCATGATTTATGGTGTTGCAACCCAGATCGCAACGGGATGATAAAAATAAAAATTAAAACAATGAAGTCGTCACTAATGTCTATTTTTTATGAAAAAAAATATTAGAAAAACTACGAAATAGAAAATGGTCTATAAAAATTAGATTTTTGAGTTTGAGAATCGATTACGTATAAGGAATGTATTAGCACCTCATAACGTTCGTCCTAACGATTACCTTTAATTAATTAAACAAATTATTTATAATATTTATCTCACCCTAAATTAATTGAACTTAACTAATAATCAAATGTATTTTATTTAACTAGTGTATTTATTTTATAAAAAAATCAGAATTACTATATATATATAAAGATAATATTATTTTTTGGGGCTCGACAAGATTTATTTCTTGCTCCTACATATCTCCATGTGTAATAAAGAATCAGAGTCACGTAATTCTTTGTAGAAAATATTTGTGTATTGATATATTTTTCAATTAAATTTTAATTTTTATTAAATTTAAGATTCTTGAACTGTCTCATTCACCCTAAAATATAAAATTGACTGAGGTGTACACCAAAGTCAATTCAATAAAATATTTAATTTGAATTATAATTATTGTTATTATTGTTATTATGGTATATACTTAAAAGATTTTTGGTTGGATATTTTTATTTTGGAGAAAAATCTAAAGATATCAAGTTGTCACAACTTGTACCTTAAATTCAAAGGTTAAAAAGATGTAACATCTAATTAACCATTCCTCAAATAAAATCTTTGATATAATAACTTCAAATATTTATGTTGAATATTGTGATAATATTTTTTTCATATTTAATTATGCATTTTTTAATTAAAAAAAAACTTTAAGATAATAAGTTGTCACAACTTAGGGGGGATGTATTGGATTAGGATTTTAAAGGACTTTTTTAGTTGAAAAAAGTCCTGTGAATTTTAAAAGATTTTGCAAGATTTTCATGACTTTTAAGATTTTGTAAGATTTCACAACACTTTCAATCAGGATTTTAATGGATTATGCAAGACTTTTAAGTTAAGATTTTAATGGATTCTGCGGGACTTTGTAGAATTTCATAAATTTTTTACATAAGCTAAGAATTCGAGATTTTTTTCATACATTCAAATTTAAAAAGAGTCAAATATAAAAATAATAAAAAATAATAATAATTTTTGGATAAATAATAATAATTTTTTGTAATATCATGTCGTTCTAAATAGAATTTACCCACGTACCAATAACTATACTAGTCCTCCAAACATTAGTATCTTTTCGTTCTTGCTTCTATGTTTTAATAATAGGCTCAAAATTATGATTTTCATTAACCAGTAATGTTGAAGATGAAGGTTCGTCCATCACTTCAATTGGAAATTCATCATAATGACATTCTTTACGAAGAAAGTTATGTAGTCCCACACATGCTAAAAATTATTCTAAACAACATTTCAAATTTTTTATAATTTATGATTTAAAATATTTTATTTATAATTTTATAAATGATTAAAAAAATAGTGGGACAACTATCCTACTCTCTTATAACTAAATATGTCCCTTCATTTTATATCGGTACTAAAGTAGAAATTTACAAACATCAATTGGGAGAAAAAAAAATATTTGAAATTTGTTACAGGTACAAAATATTTTTTTTTAATTTTTAATTGCTTTCAATTATTCACTCGTGAAGAAATATTTTTAGTATTGAATTCTAAGATACTGTAATGTCTTATGTTAATTTTCTTTTTTAAAATATAAAAATCTTAATTTCATAATATAAAAAAAAATTCATAGTAAAAAAAAGAAATAAAATAATTGTTGAGTCATTAAAGGGGAATGATAACAATAACAAATTTAAGAGAGGGAGAGAGATCATAGTTTTTATGTTGAGAGGGTTCTTCAGATCCATTCTTATCTCATTCTATTTATAGAAAAAAAATTGATGAAAAACCCACTTGGGAATTCTTGAAGCACTTGAAAAGTCACTTCAAACAATCCTCCAAAATCTGATGGGTTTGGATGGAATTGTTTTATGAATTTGGTATTTATTGATACTACTAAAAAGTCCATCAAAATGTCTCTAATACAACAATCCTTTAAAATCCCTATATTTTTGAATACCAATGAATTATTTTTAAGTTATAAAAAATCTCAAATGAATACCAATGAATTTTAATGGACTCTTTAAAAAATCTTAAAAATATTGATTGAATATCACTGGATTGTTTTTAAGTGACATAAAGTCTTGATTGAATACCAATGGACTTTTTTACTCAAAAAAAATATTTTAAAATTCTATAAAATCCTAAACCAATACACCCCTCTTACATTCTTAAATTCTAGGATTAAAGGAATGTCTCATTCAAATAATCTCCCTTTTTATAGATATAATTAATACTAATATTAATAAGAGAATATCACAGTAATTATTATTATTATTATTATTATTATTATTATTATTGTCGTTGTCTAAATGGATTAAAAATTATGTAAATATCTAACACATTTGTATAAAGAAACAACTTAATCAAATAAAATCAATTAAACTAATTTTGTTAAAACAAGAAACAAATGCCATCATCTAAGATTAAGGGAATTCCACATTTAAATAATTTTTTTGTTTATTTTTTTTCTTAAAAAGATAAATATTATTAATATTGATATAATAATAGTAATAATAATTACTATTATCAATATCTTTAAAGTAACATGAGAACCTAATATATGGATGCAAATAAATTAATTAATGATTTTTTAATCCTTTGTTGTAAAGAAAAAACAAATAAGATAAAATTTGTTAGTCATATTCATATTTGCGCATCTTGGAAAAAGGAAAAGAAAAAATTTGATTGAATGGTTCCAGGGCATATTTGTTTTTAAATGGGCTTAGCCCACATAGTTCCCAAAAACCAAAAAAAAAAGAAGAAAGAAAACAGTGGCATTAAGCCACTTTGAGCCCAGAACGCCAAAGCATAAGGCATGTATAGAAGAAACGGATACAAGGCCAAAGCATGCTGCCAAAAAATAACAGCTTGTGTAGTTTGCAGTTCCAATAATTACTTTATCCATAACACCAAAGCCAGATTTTTACACTAACATAGAAACCGTAAAGGATAAGGAAACATATTTGTTGATACAGAGGAAGATTTGACTTCCCTATTTTTGTCTCTTTCTGATTTTTTATTATTATTTTTATTTATTATTTATGATTATTGTGTGTATTTTTTTAGTTTAAATCTAGTTTGTAAATTATTAATTTGAAATTTTTGAGAAATAAATTAATAAAAAAAAATAGTGGAATAAAATTGGTGTTTACATATGGCTTGACTATTTATCTTATATAATTAGTGGATTTTTATTAAAAATAAAATAAAAATAAGATTAAATGATAAAAGTATGTAAGTCCAAATTTATCCTTAAACTTTAAAATTTTGAATTCAAATCTTAAATTTCATAAAAATATTAATTTTAAAATTTTTAATATATAAAAGGGATAGTCTTTTTAATAACTACTTGATCTCTATATTTGATGGACTATTATTCCCTTTTATTTATTAAAAATTAAGGGTGTGTTTAGTTTTGAAAAACATTTATTATTTTCATTTAGAAAATAATTTTCATTTTCTAATTTTAAAATTTAGAAAACATGTTTGGTTTAACTATTTCAATAAAAGTTCATAAAATATTTTTGACATAAAATTTACAATCAAAATATTCTCTATATATGAATTAGAATAATATTTTTTTAAATAGGCATCAATTTAATAGAATGACTAGAATTTTATATTTTTTTAAAAAATTGAAAGATTAAATGTCTCTATTTTAAAATAAATAGACCAAAATTATGGATTAACAAAAATAGAGAAATTAAAAATACAATTTAATCTATAAATTATTTATCGTGAATATAAAATATAATTTAATGTTTAAAATATCTATTATACAAATTTTAAATTTGATTTATATATTCAAACATAATATTTATTTGTGGGTATATAATTTATTATAAATTTTAATTATATATAACAAATATTTAACTTATACATTATAGTGAGTAAAATACTAATGTGTGTGTATATATATATAACTAAAAATATTTTTATCAAGGGAATCTAAAGATATGATAGGCTTTATTAGGGTTTTGGAGGAGTCCTTTGTGGAGAACGAAGACTCTTTGACATGTT